AACCGATTTTTATGCCCACCCCTGTTCTATTACAACTAAGACTCACCTTCCTAACATAAATTTAAAACAAATCTAAACATCTTGCAGTATTTGAAGAGACATTTTTGACTTAATTTCTTCATGTTTACACCTATCTGGGTCAGTGTCACTGGCTTGGTAGCGCACGGTAGCAGACCCTGAGGCCCAGGCTAAAGGTGGAAACTACTGCAGGGAGACCAGCATACCATCTTATGTAGTATCTGTGCATACATGGCCACCCAAGTATGCCTCATGTAATACAGTATCCTTTTCTGGTTCTTAAATTGTATCTGGTGTCATTAATTTCCGTTTTCTGTCATATTTTGACTTTCTTGTGGAGGGTGCACCATGAGCGTTTTCTCACGGATATTAGCTCTTTATAAATTTTCAATATTATTATTATATTACACACCTGTTTTTATTTTTACTCATCATCAGTGGCAAAGCATTATTTGAATATAACAAAAACATTATTTATTGTTCACAATTTTATGTTTGATATGGACCGATTGAGTCTGAAATGAAGTTAAAATAAAAGGAAATAAAATTTGATAATAATTGATGGATATAATAATGCAGAAATGAATTAATGGTGGATAATATACCATAGAATAATGATAAAGAGAATGATAATGAAGATAATGGTGAGTGATATATAATTGCAATATTAATTTGATATGTTGCAGACTAAATATATAACTACAGTACATTTATGCCTACTAACTATACAGAGAAGCAAGCTTTGTACATAATTATTTTTAATGGTGGTTGTACAATATTCTTTATGCAGTGTATTTGTCATTTTTGACACCTCTCACCAGGTACCCATTTATTTATAATCCTAGGTGGATATAGAAAATTTATAACTGTATCACCTTACATACTACAGTAGCGTACCCAATTAAAAAATATGAATATGAGTTTTGCTAGAGTACCTGAATCAGCAGATCTTCAAAGATAGGAATTGCAAATGGAGCAGGGTACTGCCTGGCTTATGAGAAAAGGGGTAAAAGGGATAATTATTTTTGCCCTGAAGCTAAAATTATCCTGAATGAAGGTGTTTCTTAAATTTGCATTCAGGTCAAGATTGTGATTTTCAAGACTGATGTGCTTGTGAACAATCAATCAATCAATCATTGTTTATACTATTCTTTGTTGTGATCTGATAAAAAGTGAAAAGCGTAGCTACTAGTAAAAGATATTGATGGAATTTAAAAATCATTATTACAGTGTTTTCATGCATACACTATTACTAAAGGTTGATGAACATTAATCTTATACAAAAATAGAAAATGTCTCATTTGCATGTGTATGGTGATATATATTGTATTACCATGGTGATTTACAACTCAGTTTATACTGACTATATGTAAATGTCACGGTATTGTGAAAAAGAGCTGACTGCCAGCACAGTTGAAAGTTCAGTTGAGTTTTGAAAATGTAGTCTGCCAAAAAAGTTGGAGAAAAACCTATTAAAAAAAATCAATAAATTTTTTAGTACAGTAGCTTAATGAAAAAGATAAAATATAATTTTGAAAACAGATCAAAACTAATTTGTTGATTTATAGAGATTTTAATACAAATATCAATTAATTACCAGCCAATTTTAGGTGCAAAAGAATACAGAAAAGGTAGTATTTACCGTAATTGACTGGGGAAATTTTTTTTATTGTAACTTGATAACTTAAATATAATAATAATAATAATAATAATAATAATAATAATAATAATAATAATTGTTGAGACTTATAGCGCATATTGTAGAGACCTCTATGCGCTATATCTGTAGCATTATTACCCCTAGTCACTGGATCAAGCACACATGGAACAGACACTCAGGACCCATGGGGGAATTCCATAATGTTGTAGCTGTAATCAGCGCATAGTTTTGTTTGAACCTACCACGTACCCACTTATACTCCTGGGTGGCAAAAACCAACCATAGATAAAGCGCCTTGCCCAAGGACACAAGCGACTTGTACAGGAAGAGTTTTGAACCCCCGACCTCAAGGGTGGGAGTCCAAGCCACAATCGATACGGCAACCTCTTCTATGTAAATATACGAATTAATCAATTCAAACATGGAATTAAATTTTTAGCTCATGACAGACAATTCATCTTTAAGAAAAAAAAATCAATTTAATATTATTTCTATGTAAATAAAAAAAATCTTCATATTCTCTTCAGAATACTTGCTATCACAAGAGATTGAGAATTTTAAAAATTCTAGTAAAACCGTTTGATGTGCCTCAATTTTCTATTATTGTGATTCATTAATGAATCATAAGCTTGGTTTTCTTTTCCGTTCCCGAAAATTCTTTGGTCCTGAGCACTTGTTACAGCTTTTATCAGACTCGAATCTGGCCCCAGCTGGAGTACTCAAGTCCCATGACTGGGGTGGGACTCATCCATCTGTTGTTGCTGTTCTTGACAAGAAAAAAAAACAAAAAAAAAAAAACAAAGAAAAAAAAAAATTGCCACCTTCATCTTTTTGAAGATTCTGTAACTTATTCTCTCAGCTTAGCCAATTCAGTTTTGACGTTGCTGCTTTCCAAGAGGTACGATCCCACCGAAGGTCATCTTGGTCTCAGCTGCACGAACTTCAGGAGTTGTTGCCTAGTTACAAGTGGTTGCTATACCAATCAGTTCAAGAAGTCATACCACCAAAATATGGTGCTCCCTCAGGTTGGGAGATGGAAGGTTGGTTTTTTTTTTTTATTCTCTATTTTTTTGAATTTCTTACATTGGAAAATATTGCACACGCTCAACAGAAATTGATTTTCATAAAGGTATAACTTTTATACCGGCCAAATAAGTTACCCTAATAGGAATGTCCCCTTAATAGGGGTGTCCAAAAAATAATTGGTAAACTTAGCTCATTATATATCCCTAAATAGTCATGATGTGGTGTCATCATAAGCATATTTAAATGCATGTCACATGTTTTTGTCAAATGCAATGCGATAGTCTGAAAGTATAATTACAGGGCTTCACTGTAGAAAACATTTTAGCTCACTATATATACAGTAGTATGTTTTTTGGTTATCAAGGGTCATGTTGATGTTTTCTAGAAGACCTAGTAACTTTAGCATCCGGGAACCTTCTATATTGAGTTATCTGTTAATTATGTGGTAAACTACAATAGACAATAGTAATATTCTATAAATACAATCTTGTGAAATGAAAGTATTTTAAATAAATTTTCGCTGATTACCAGTAGCAACACTTAGCATGTGGACCCAATGACCAGGGAAAGGAACTGCGCTTTATAACCGCAAAGAAGAGGCGCATTATAAATGCTGTACCAGTACCAGTTACTTTGCATTAGCTTACCTCAAGAAACTGTTATTTTTAGCTTTCAGAAACCCTATTTTTCAAGTGTTTTTAGCTCATTATAATGGTATATTTTTGGTCGTCAAGGGTCATGTTGTTGTTTTTTAGAAGATCTTAAGACACTATAAAAACAAGTTTGGTACTTCAACAAACTCTTAATACTGTAGAAGATTATAGTTAAAATTGTGAATAAATAATTATTTAAAAATATATTTATAGAATCATTAGTTTAAATCATAGACCTACAAAATGAAAATTTTTACTTTAAAAAATAAATAAATCATTGTATCTGTCAAATTTTTTAAAACCCACTTAATGTAAAATATTATTCTAATATTGGAACACTCATGTCATAGGAAAATGAATATGTTCTTGAATGTACTGTACGTAAGGTGATGTTTTTAAAGAATATACTGTACATCTCTTATTGCAGGTTTGGGCATTCTCAGTAGGCTTCCAATTACCCATCATGCACTTCAGTCTTTAGTTCAAGATTCTCGGCTTGATAAGAATAAGCGTGTTGTGTTACATGCAAATGTTTCCCTATCTGGGGGTAAATCATTCAACGTCTCAGTAGTACATCTATCCTCAGACAGGAGGCAGCAGTGCAGTAACGTAGCGCAGATTTTAAACCATCTTAAAGGTATGCGAGAATTAAATTGGTGTTTACTGCAGATTTGAGTGTTATTTCTTGAGAGATATTAGTTTGAAAATTGGTCAATACAACACAACTCAGTGGTAACTACGCCCCTTAATATCTAGAGTGGAGTTGAAAAGCTAAGTGGTTAATTCCTGTGACAGCAAGACATTTTCTCACGAATAAAATCAACTGCACTCCCAAAGCCTCATTAAGAGACTTCGCTAATATTCGCATCACATTATTTCATTTTGAAAGGAGGGCCCCTGAATATCACCTTGTAGGATATGCTAGAAGGATCAAAAGAAAGGACCACTATAAATATGTTTTTTTTTTTGTTTTTTTTTTTTTAAATAACTGGAGTAGTTTTTGGCTGTTTAAAGTTTTAAAAAAAATAAATCTTATTGTGTCCCAAAAATTTGAGAATTCTTTTCTCCATGTTTGGTCCGACAATTCACGGCTGATGTAGGCTTGGCTTGTCTAATAGAGACTTTTTCACCACACCTCCCCCCCGATACTGCCATTACCACCATTCGTACCAACATGTGCTGATAATTATATCTCACAAATTCTAGATCACACAACAGCATGTTCTGTAATACTAGGCGATTTCAACACCTACAATGACTATGAATGGCCTATGTTGGCCCTACAGGAGGGCAAGATCTCATCCATCAATAAATGTTACATCTCCCTCCAGCAATATGCCTCACTGGAGAAAGTTCAATCTTACGTTGATGTGTGGAAGCAAGCTAATCCAGCAAAACAAGGCTACACATTCAGTAATATGGTAAGATTTGTTTCTTAAGCCAGTCACACATTGTGCGGCGAATACATTTCAGGGGCTGGTACAGGAAAAACAAATTTAGTAGGGGTCCATGCGAAGTGCGAGCACCATGGTGGTAGAAGTGTGGGGGTGGTGCTTCAGATTTTTGTTTAGAAATGCTTGAACATAGGCACTGCTACATGGGATTTAAATTAGATGTTTTGGAGTACCGTGCTCCACTCTTTTTTATCTTTTTTTTCTTTTGGAGGGGCAACTAACCCCCTCAGGCCCCATGGATCCGCCATTGCATCTTCAATTTGTGTGAGTGCTTGGCAACCTCCTGCCGTCTTCCGATTGTTGATGGCAGTCTAAACAGACTAATCCATCATGCATATTTTTTAATGTAGTGTACATAGAATTGCGTTGACAAATGTCAACCAACGCATACTCAAATAAATACGAGGTGTAATTTTACCTTGAGTGTAATTATTTTGCTCAGCAAGGTGGAGGTGCAGCACCAGGGAGGGGGTAAATTTTTTTCTGGGGATTGTACACCACTGGCTCAAAATACAGGTTATTGTCAGTTTAAAACTTATATCTTTAATATTAAATTAGTACACTCCCTTTATTTTATATACAAAAGTACTAATTCTGAAAGTAAAGGCAATTTTAAAACAACATAAAAAGGAGTTTTCTAAAAATGTTTGCAATGTAGTTTTGTCATATTTTGTAGGGAGCTAATGATTATTTTAGTAAACTGGTGGAGTCTTTGAAAGTAGAATTGAAGATGGACATCATTCTTTGTTAACCTTTCAGCCCAAGCCTGGATTTGAGAGTCGACCAGACCGTATACTTGTAAGTGACGGCTGTTTTTCGATCAAGAGCTCACAGCTCGCAGGCTTCGGCAGTGAATACAAGACCATGTTTGTAAATAAAGTGATAAAGAGTCGATACCGCTCAGTGTTTGAAAGTGGTAAAGCCTCATACTATGCTTTCTCTGGCAGCTCATGTTACTTTGACTGCGGGCCACACGGATCCTGCAGGTGCGGAATCTGTGTTGACGGAGGCAACAAACGTAACTGCCCGCTGCCCAACTGTTCAGAATGCAGTGCGACTCTTTTCAAACAATTTATGGTTCTTGCTGCTTTTACCCTTTATCTAATTTTAAACTGTTTATATACAATTTTAAAATGTTTACATATATTAAAGACAATGTCAAGCAATTGTGATAATTTATTCAACAAATTGTTTTTCAAATGTGAAAAGAATATACGGAGAAAATGGTGGTTGTATATTTGTTGCCCATTCTATCGTCTGCCAATCATATGTGCAATTATTTTGAATGTTGTCTTCTTAATAGGAATTTTTTGTTTGTGGCAAAATATTTTTAAAGAAACACTGACTACTGTGAATGCAATTATTCCAGAAGAATTCAACCCTTCTGACCATCTTATGGTCACTGGTCAGTTGATGATTATTTGACCTAATAATAATTTTTGAGGCGTAACTATTATTTGACCTTATTATTAACTATTATTTTGAGGCAAATTATTATTATTGACGCATACTATTATTTTACCTAATAATAATTTTTCAGGCATAACTTTTTTTTTCGGTAAATATTCTCCTGTTATTTTTTTGATAATGAATATTTGATTAGCTTTTTATTTAATGCTTATAAAATGGGTCTTTAGTTAAGTAATGAAAATTGTTTCGCTTGGCAATAACAGACCCGATGCAGTGCAATAAATATTGCAGTTGGCTTGCTCTTCTTCGGAGAGGGTTCTGCATTCTTTATAGTGCAAAAGAGCCATGGTTTACTCATGAACAAAAATGTTTCAGTAAGCTGTAACCTGTATTTTACCAGGAGCTTGATGGAAAAGAACCAGACACATGTTTCTTATTATTTGCATAGTAGTATAGTTTAATATAAAAAGTTTAGTAATAAATTCATAAATATATTTAAATGTTAATAAAATATATAAAAACTAAATTTGTAGATTTCCTTGTATGATTTTAAACTTCTTGATTGTTGAATTTCTTTTTGAATGTTTTGTGAATTTCTTTTGCGAATATAATTGAATGTAAATGTTCATGTAATTGTAATTTTAATATGAAATTTTTAATATATTTTTCTCTTTCGTGGGGATTTTCCCACCTTTATTTCTTTTCTCATTTTGTTATTTTTATTTTTTTTTTTTGCATCAAAAACACCAATAATAACAGATTTAAATCTCCATGCTTTAGTGCACACACAGTAGTTCCAGCAGTTAACTAACTTGCAACATTCTTCTCTCAATAAAACATATAGAAATCGCAATTTGTACCAAAAATCAATACATGTGTAACAGTTAATTTGCTCACATAGATCATACATAGATCATAAAGAATCCCAGAAACTCTAAATTATTCAACTGAATACTGCTAAGTATAGTCAAGCTAACTTCACAATGTTATTCTTTTTTCTGCTTTATTGTTATTCTTTTTTGAAGCATGTTAGAAAATTGATTGTTGTTAGTCATCTTTACAACACGAAAAAAAAAATGCATCGGGAAAGATAAATTTTGTTATCAGTGAACTTTGATTGTAAAGATAATTGATTCAAATATAAATTCACACAGAACCCGAAAAAAACACTAAAAAGGAAAAATTTGCTGGAGAATTATGCTGCAATACAGACTGGAATCCCCATAAAATTGACACGATTGCAGCCTTTTTTTAGCTAATGTTAAATAGCTGTAGCTCACCATCCAATTTGAGATTATTCTAATTTGAGACCTCTTTTTAAAACTACTGTACAACTGATCCCATCTTCTAATTCCGAGTTCCCTCTTGTTTCAGACCAGAACAACGTTGTAAGTCCAAAGCGATAATGACCGCCAATGCAATCATCACTTTAAAAAATAAATACATGTTAAAAAAATATTTTTTTATGATTAATTTCGTAATCTAAATAATCGTTTAGAAATGTTAGTTTTTTGCCTAAAACAGCTAATGGTTTTACTCAACCTAGTTTCGTATATACCTACATTCCGAGTTTCTTGCTAATAAGTGGCCGTCCCCAGAACAAGTTGCATTGCATTTAAAGTAATGCTTTTTTTATAACCTACCTACATTATTAACATCCGATCACTTCTGTGACACAAACATTGTAGTGTTTCAACCCTCAAATGTGGTAATTTTGTAATTCCAGACAACTATTGACAAAGCCACCTATGTTTAAAAGATGTATTGAATATGACAACAAAAATTAAAGGATAATATTGAAATTAACTTTATGAAAATAATAAAAGCACTTACTACAGTGATTGGAGGTGTTTCATTTTTTGCTTCAAAATTATGGGTAAACTACTTTTGATAAATACACTAATTTCAATGTTCCAAGTTGATAATTTTTATGTTACAGTACTTCAAAGTGAGAAAGTTAATATTTTTTATGATCC